AAGGGTCTCCTTTCAGGGAAACGGGGAATCCTTAATGCTTCCTCCCTCAGCAACCGTAATGCCAGGATGTTCCCAATCTGCTTTGAGGGATGGAAAGATTAAGAATAATAAAAAAATTGCAATAAAATATGTGTGAACGAGGGGGTAATTGTGGACAAATGCAGCATTCAAATTCATTTTTCAGCTCTTTTACACACCATTTCAATCTTATTTTCTGCTTGTTAATGAGATCTTGTTGGTTGGGGTGGGCACGGCTGCCCAGTATCGCTCGGGTAATTGCACATAATTTTCTCTCCACCAGTGATTTGCATCAGATTTTTATTTATTTTTTTTTTTACCCCCCCCCTAATTCTTTGCTATTTAAACCCCCTCCTCCTTTTCTCCCAACCCCCAAATCTCATCCTCTCCTCCCCCTTTTTTTTTTTTTTTTTTTTTTTTTTTTTTCCCCTTCCCCTCCCCTTTCTCCTGGCCCAGCAAGACTCATTTGGAATGGTTATTACAGGCGCGGTGGCTCCGACAAAAAAAAACGGGAAAAAAAGAAAAAAAGGGAGAAAGGAATTGGTGGCACCGAGGGAAGGGAGAGAGGGCGGCCTCTCCAGAGCCGGGAGGGATCCTTGGGAATCAGGGAAGGAATTCCCAGAGCCAGGAGGGATCCTTGGGAATCAGGGAAGGAATTCCCAGAGCCAGGAGGGATCCCGGGAAATTGGGGAAGGAATTCCCAGAGCCAGGAGGGATCCCTGGGAATGGGGGAAGGAATTCCCAGAGCCAGGAGGGATCCCAAACCCAGTGACAAAGCCAGGACTGGGAATCCGACTCTGAGCCCCAGACACTGGGAATGAATTCCCTCAGAGAGGAAAAAGCCACGGAAAGCCCAGGGAAAATTAAAGCAACAACTCCGAGGAGCTGAACAAGTTTCTCTTGGCTCTTGGAGTTTCTGGAATTGTCTTAATCCCTGGAGATCCCGCGGGGCTGTTGGGAGATTCCGAGGTCTCAGGAATAACAAGTTCTGGGAAACGCCCGGAACTCCTGCTCTGTTTTGAGCTTTTCCCCGGCTCCACCCGCCCCAAACGGAGAATTTTGGGCTCTGGAGAAGCCAAAGCACGAGAACGGTGGCAGGAGTTTGTGCCCTGCTCCAGAATCCTCCTAAAAACCCACGGAGACGCTGGAAAAGGTGGAAGAGATGGGGAGGAGGAGGCTGGAGAGGAAAAGCAGTGGGAAATAGAGGAAAAAAAGCTGATTTCTCTGCTCCCAGGATCAGCCAAAGTGGTTTTGTCCCGTAATTCTCGGGATCATTCCCTTGTTTCCCCCCTCAGCCCCCAGAGCAGCTCCTAAGGGTTGGCAGGTCCTGCTTGAGCAGAACCGCGCCTAAAACTGAGCCTAAGGCCAGGCTGGATGGGCTTTGGGGTAAGCTGGCCTGGTGGGAGGCTCCAAACTCCTGCTCCATCCCAAATTCCTGCTCTATCCCAAACTCCTTCTCTATCCTAAACTCCTGCTCCATCCCAAATTCCTGCTCCATCCCAAATCCCTGATCTATCCTAAATCTCTGCTCCATCCCAAGCTCCTGCTCCATCCCAAATTTCTGCTTTATCCCAAATCCCTGATCCATCCCAATTCTGCTCCATCCCAACCCCTGCTCTATCCCAAATGCTCACTCCATCCCAAATTCCTGCTCCATCCCAAACCACTGCGGGGGTCACCCCAGGGTCTCTCCAGAAGTTTCTGGAAGGAGCAGGACCTGAGCTTCCACTCTGGGTCCTGCTTTGATCCTGTGGGATTCTCCTGGTCCTGGCTTGGGAAGGGCCAGCTGTTCCCAGAGCCTGGGATTTGGGATTTGGGATGGGAACGCTGTTGATCACAGCCCGATGGCTCCGGGGTTACTGAGTCCTGTTTATCCCATCCTGGCTCGAGGAATTCCTTTCTCCTGCTCTGCCACTGGGGAAGGTTCCAGAAGGAACCGGGACAGGCGACCCGAGCTGGGAACGGGGACATTTCACCCCATGGAATGTCCCCATTCCCTGAGGAAAAACCGGGAGAGTTACTGGGAAGGGAGGGTCTGGAACTGGCATTGAGCAGCACTTGGTTTTCCCTTATAAAAGAAGAAATAACAATAATAATAATAATAATAATAATAATAATAATAATAATAATAATAATAATAATAATGATAATAATAATAATAGTAATAGATATTATATGTGTATTAGTGTATTATATTAATTATTAAATATAAATATATGTATAATAAATATAATAACTAATAATATAATAATATATAGTATTAAACTAAATAATGTAATAAATATAAATATTCATTATAAACATAAATAACTAATATTATTAAATAACTAATATTATTCTTATTCTTATTCTTATAATTCTTATCCTTATTATTCTTCTTCTTATTATCATCATTATCATTGTTTAATTATTCTTATTATAATTATTGTTATTGTTATTATTATTATCATTATTCTCATTATTTCTGTATTTCACTTCATTCTCGATTATTGAACTCTCCTTATCTCAACACACCAAGTTTTACTTTGGTTCTCTTCCCATTCCGGGGATGGAATGGGAACACAGCTGTGGACACACCAAATCCCCATTTTCTGTTCAGAATGGGAATGCTGAGCCTCCAAAACACCCCAAATCCCCATTTTCTGTTTGGGAACGGGAACCTCAAATCACCAAAACACTCCAATCCCAATTTTCTGTTTGGGAACGGGAACACCAAATCTTCAAGACATTCCAATCCCCATTGTCTGTTTGGGAATGGGAATGCCAAATCACTTCAAATCTCAAAAAACTCCAATTCCCATTTTCTGTTTGGGAGCAGGAACACTGAGGTGGCCACCCCAAATTCCCATTTTCTCTTTGGGAATGGGAACACCGCGGTGGCCACACCAAATTCCAGTTTTCTCTTTGGGAATGGGAACTCCGAATCTCCAAAACACTCCAAATCCCCGTTTTCTCTTTGGGAATGGGAACGCCGCGGTGGCCACACCAAATCCCCGTTTTCTCTTTGGGAACGGGAACGCCGTGGTTGGCCACACCAAATTCCAGCTGCCTCACTGGGCGTCGGCACCCAGCAGTGGCCAAGAAATCTCCTCCCGCTGCCGCTGCCGCCAGGGGGGAAATGAGAAACCCTCATGGAACCACCATCATCCTCAGCTCCCAGACTGGTTTTTCCAACCTCCTGAACTTCCTTTTTCCCTCTGGCCGATCCTTCTCCCTGCAGAGAGGAACCTCGGGCAGCCGGGAGGGTGGAATTCCGCTGGGATTTCCCTGGAATGCCGCAGCGGAGCGGGATCGCGCTCGGCGCGATTAATAAATGACGCAGAGCGCCCCATAAAGAGCCCTCCCAAAACTGCCCTAAAAAGAGGACAAATCCAGGGGTTCTTCATCCCACTGGGAGCATTTCTCATCTCCTTCCACTAGGAACAGCAGAGGGCTGGGAAAGGCAGGAATTTTTGATCAGGGAATGCAAAGCAGTCGGGAAATAACCTGGGTCAGGCTCTGCGCGCACAAAGGGAACGGGCGAATTTCCATGCTGATATCTTGGCCCTCACATGATTAAAAGCGTCGGGAAAATGGGAATCTCCTCTTCCTGGGGGTGCAAAGCTCTCTTTTCTTCAGGCCTGCCAGATAAAGGATCCTCTCTTTCCCATACAAAGGGCTTATGGGCTCAGGGATATCTGTCCCCAGCCTGAGCCTGGGGGCAGGGGAATTTGGGATTGGGATAAGCGGAGGAAAAGCCACGGTCTGGTCCTTTCAACGAGCCCCTGATTCTGTGGGACTGGGCAGGAAAGGATGAAGGGAAATGGAAATTGCAGGATGGCCTTCAGGCTCATCCCAGGCATCTCATCCCTGCCTTATTCCATGGGGATAAATTGCACTCGGGATCATCTGAGTTAATCCTGGGCCCTGGCCCAGCTAACCCAGGCCTGCCTTTGAATCCCAGGCTGTATCCTCCGAGCCTGAGCCCAGGGCTCTCAGAAATCCCTTGTCAGAGGGATATCTGCCTGTTCCCCCCCGAATTTCCCTGTTTGAAGCAATATCCAGCCCCATGCCAGTCAATATTTCGATATTTTCCCATTTCACCTCGTGCCAGTCACATTTTAACGTTTCCCCATTCAAAGCCAAAAGCGGGGGATTTGTACAATTCCAGAGAAGCTGTAAAATTTCCCCGTTTCCTCTTTGTTTTCACACTCGAGAGATCCCAAACTCCTGCACCTGAACACCCTCATCCCCCTGGTGTCCCTGTTTGTTGGACTCCTCTCCAAACCGCCAGAAAATGAATCTCCCATTTCCGGCGCCCACCTCATTTCTCCTCCTAGTTCCGAATTATTTCAGTTTCCCGTCCTAAATAAACTGATCCCTCTGAAACAACAGCTCCGTATCCCATGAGCGACTGAGAGTGGAAAAAACCGGGATTTGGTGTCCCTTGGGATAAGGACGAGTCCTGGCTGCTCATTTCCAGCTCCACCTGAAGACGAAGGTGAGCTTGGAAACTCCTTTCCTCCTCCACAGCTCAGCCACGCCTTGGCATCAGCGGGATAGTCCGCACGAGTTTCCCAAAATGACGCCCCAAATGTCCATCTCTGAGCTCACATCCGTGCCAGACCTGGCCAAGCTCCAGGCTGAGCCTAAATCAGCCCCCCCAGATGAATTTTGGAGTCAGCCCTCAGGCGTGAACCAAACCCGCCACCGGCGGGGCCGCCGCCGCTCTGGGATGGTTTTGGGAGGCGCTCCAGGTGTCGGCGATCCCCTCATCCCAACCTGGCCGTGGGAATGACCAACGCTGGGCTCAGGGCAGAGCTGCTGTTCATTAACAAATGAGCTAATTGCTCTCGCTGGGCTGCCCGCAGGAATTCCCGACAACAACAACCCCAACAACAACAGCAATCCCAACAACAACAACAACCACCAGTGCTCCGCCACCGCATCCCAGAGGTTTCCGCGCTCCCGGAACCCGGAGAAGGCTGGAAACGGGCACGTACCTGCGGGGAGAGGCCGTTGCTGACGGGGTTCATGTGGTTGGCGGGGGCTGCGGCGTTCATGAAGCTCTCGGAGTAGCTGGAGAAGCTGTGCCGGGCGCCGTAGGCCGAGCCGGAGTCGGCGGCGGCGGCCAGGCCGCCCTGGTGCATGGTGGAGGGCGGCAGCGGCTGCGGCCGGTGCACGGTGCTGCCGCCGTCTGTGGGGACACCAACGGGCTGGGATCTCCCCGGGAAACACCCAGGAAAACCCCGGGAAACCCCTGGGAAACATCTGGGAAACTGCTGGGAATGGCGGCTCAGCCATGGCGGGAGCCAGCGGGAAATGTCTTGGTTTTGCTTTGTTTTCCCTCCCAGCAAAGAGAAAATGTGAATTCTTTGGTAAAGGCAAAAATTCCAGGCCAAGGGCAGCTGGAATTAACTATTCCTTCCACTGGGATATTCCTGCCATGGGAATGGACATGGAATGAGGGGTCACCCACACAACCCCCAATTTCCTGGGATGTGCCCCTTGTTCAAAACTCCAGCCACAGGGCACAAGCAGAAGGGACATGGGACAAAGAAGAAAACACTTCTTTTTTGAGGGAAAAACCTGATTTTGCCAACAAAAAGAAGCCCGCAAGAGACTCCCAACTCTCCCATCATCCATGGGCTGGATATCAGAGATCAGAAAGGCCCAAGCAGAGCGTCGAGGAATGGTTTGGGAGGGACCCCAGAGCCCGGGATGCTCCAACACCGCCTGGCCCGGCGCAGGGGAGGTGAGAAGGGAAGCAGGGAAGGGAAGGCTCACCTTGGGAGATGGTGGTGGTGGGGTAGGAGGAGTCGGGCAGCTGGTATGGGGGCAGTGCCGGCATGCCCGTGGGCGGGAAGCCCCCCGGCAGCAGGTGGTTGAAGGCCGCCAGCTGGTTGGCTCCGGCCTGCTTGCGCCAGCGAGCCCGCCGGTTGCTGAACCACACCTGGGGGGGACAGAAAACACCCCTGGGTGACACCTGAGCAACACCTGGGGACAGAAAATGCCTCATGGGCAACATCTGAGCCATGATGGCCACAGCTGGGGACAGAAAACACCCCCGGGTGACACCTGAGCCATGATGACCACACCTGGGGGGACAGAAAACACCTCTGGGTGACACCTGAGCAACACCTGCCACACCAGATGGCAACACCTGGCCAAAACCAGGCCCAAGCAGCTCCTGGACCCGGACCCTGGCCAATCCTCACCCCCATTCCTCACTTTCCCCCAGCCCATCCATCTCCCGTGGGATTTCCAGCGGCCGGAGACGCTGCTCCCGGCTGGGGGCACACGGAGAGGGACACCAGGCATCTCGGATCCGGCAGGGTCCATCCCAGGGAGATGCTCCACTGCCACCTGGCCGTCCCTCCTTATCTGCCCGGGCTGGGAATGCTGCCGCAGGATTAAGCGCCATAATAGCGGCGCTGTTAGGAGGGATAAATATCCAGATTAGCATCGAGCTGGCGGTTTTAGACGAGCTCAGGAGATAGAACCGCCCCGCAGGGAGTTTCAGGGAGCCTCAGCTCCTCTGAGTGTCTGCAGCTCTGCAGCCAACCCGGATCCATCTGATAAACCCAGCCTAAACTCCGCGGCAAAGCCGGGCTTAGCTCTGCCAAGGCGCCGCTTCACCCGCCAGGCTCCAGAGGAGGTTTTCTTAACGCCCTAGTGTGTTTTATCGGGGGAAATCTCCTTTCCACAGAGCCAAAAAAGGATTCCTAGGTGTTTTATCGGGGGGAAAAGGGTTTTATCAGGGTAAAAAAGGGTCTCTCCTGGGCTGGGTTTGCTTCATTTCCTCAGAGAGGGCTCTCAGGCCTGGTTCTGTTTGGGGTTCACGAGGATAAGCTTTCAAGCCAGATGAGAGCGCAGCTGCTGGGCTTTGGGAGGCCTCAAGTGCTGCAAAACGCGATTGAATTTCACAGCGATGAGAAAAAAACGGAGCAAAAATCAAGAGTGGGGGGGAAACCCCTCCCTCTCCATCAGGTTCCCAAGCTGCTCAGCCTCATATCAGGAGCTGGGCTTAAAAATGGGTTCCCACACCTTTGGGGACAGCCCCAAAGTCCTTCCCCAAATCCTGTGAAAACAGCTCCAAACTCCTTCCCCAGATCCTGCAGAACCGACCCCAAACTCCTTCCCCAAATTCTGTGGAACCAACCCCAAATTTCTTCCCCAAATCCTGCAGGAACAACCCCAAACTTCCTTCCCTAAACACTGACCCTGTTCCCGGACATTTTTCTTACTGGAAAAGGCAATTTCCATTCAGGGACTTCTGAGCTTGCCATGAAGTGTCCCCTGAGCTTTCCCTGGGATTGTTTTGGGGTTCCCTGGATGTCTTCCCAGTTTCCTGGGGTGCCATTTGATCAAACCCCACTTTTGGGGTTGTTTTGGGGTTCCCTGGATGTCTTCCCAGTTTCCTGGGGTGCCATTTGATCAAACCCCACTTTTGGGGTTGTTTTGGGGTTCCCTGTCTCTGCTCCCGGTTCACGGGGGCCGTTTGCTCAAACCCCGCTCACGGAGCCCCGCCAGGCCCCCATTTCACGCCGTTTTTTCCCCAACAAGAACCCCCCAGTTCCATTTGCGGCCCCGGTGCCAAGGCAGGCCCTGAGCGGTTTTTGGGGCCCTGGCAGGTCCTTGGCACCCAACCCCTCCTTCCCCAGAGCTCGGCGGGCCCCTCCGGCGCCGTGACAGAAATGGGTCACTCACACCCCGAGCGCTCCGAGCCAGCGGGGCCGCGGCTCCGGGGCCGCTCCTGGCACCCACATCCCCCAAATCTGGGACAGAGTTGAGGGGGAGAGAAAATGAATGAACCCCGGTTTGCAATTCATCCAGCCCAGTGGAAGAGCAGAGAGCAGCACAAAGGAATAAAGAAATCACCGAAATAACCAAAATAACCCAAATTTGGCTTGGTCACGCAAAGAGGATCCATTGTCCTGTTTTTTTTTTTTTCCTGTCCTGCACAATTCCAGTCTGGAACTGGGGCTGTGGGCTCGGCTCTGCTCCTCCCTTCCACTTCCACACCTCGAGTATTTCTGGAGTATTTAAGTATTTAAGGAGAGGATCAAATCTTGTCTTTGTGGAGGAAAAAGAGGGAAATGAACCTTCTCTTTGTGGAGGAAAAGGAGAGAAAGAAATGTTCCCTTTGCAGAGGAAAAGGAGAGAAATGAACCTTCTCCTGGTGGAGGAAAAAGATAAATTAACCTTCTCTTTGTGGAGGAAAAGGAGAGAAAGAAATGTTCCCTTTGCAGAGGAAAAGGAGAGAAACAAACTTTGTCTTTGTGGAGGAAAAGGAGAGGAATGAACCTTCTCCTTGCAGAGGAAAAGGAGGGAAATGTTCTCCTTGAGGAGGAAAATTTGAGGAATAAACCTTTCTTTGCAGAGGAAAAGGAGAAATCTTCTCTTTGCAGAGGAATAAATCTTTTTTCCAGAGGAAAAGAAGAGAAATGAACCTTCTCTTTGCAGAGGAAAAGGAGGAAAATGTTCCCTTTGCAGAGGAATAAACCTTTCTTGGCAGAGGAAAAGGCTGGAAGAGCTCCCAGATCCCAAAAGATCGAGATCCCAGTGCAGAGAAGAGCAGATAAAAGCCCCAACACCTGAAGCAAAACCATCACCCAGACCTGAATCCAGGGAAGAGAGAGAGAAATGGAGCCCAGGAATGCAATTCCTGACTTTCCCAAAGGCGGGAAAGTTCTTTTTTAATTTTTCATCCCAACCAAGAGGCAGATGCTGCGATCTCACCCGGGATGAGATGTGGAGTGAGATGTTCTGGGATGGGACAGGAGGATTTATGTGATCAAAACCCAACTCGGAACAGATTTGTGCTGTTTCATGCCCCGTGTGAGGCGATTTTTGTCTCATTTACACTTTAAATCTGTTCAGGATTAAAATCCACCTGTGCCAGAGCGGCACCTCCCGTCCCGCTTCCCACATCCGCTGTAATTCCTTTGTTTTCTATGGAGATAAAAGGATACTCTGGATCCTTTTACAGCCAGGTAGAGCCACCCTGGGGATGAGCCTTTTTGCTCTGCAGCGTTTGAGAAGAAAGGAAAGATAAACTCCAAGGGAGAGGATTATCAGCAAAGAAATCCAGTTCCTAATTACGCTCCTCCTGTGACTCCAGGAAAACTGTTGCTTTTGGGATTGAAGTCAACCAATTTGAGTCCTTACAGCGGGGTTAAACTGAGGATAAACCCCCTATTTTTCACATTTTGGGTGATTTCCACACTCAGCCAGCTGAGATTGAGGCTCGGGAAGGTGCCGGAGATCCCGGCGTTGGTTGGAGCGGCGCAGCCGAACGAAGGAGACGCGATAACACTGAAAAAAACCCAAAATCCACCTGCACCAAAAGAGATTCCTGGGAGTTTAAAGCAGCGCTTCCCACCGAGCCCGAAACCCCTGGTGGGATTTATCTCCCCACGCTCGTTCTGTGGCCCAAACAGGTCGATTCCGCCCCTCATTTCTAACCCGGAGAAGAAAAAGCGGAGCCTCTGCAGCTAATGACGTTTGCGATTCCTCCCCTTCCCCCTCCTCAAAGGTGGCTGGGGCCTTTTTATGCTCATAAATCATTTTATTGGTGGTTGAAATCCCGAGGCTGGAGCAGCTCGCTGTAATGCGAGGTGCACTTCAAAGGGAACCTGCCTTCAGTTCCCGGCTGCTCCAGCTTTATCAGCCCCGAAAGATTCCCCTGCCATGGGATCCTGTTACAGCATGGCGAGCCTGGCGTGGAGCCTGGGCCTGCTCCGACCGCGCTGGAGGAGGAAGAGGAGGGAGAGGAGGAAGAGGAGGAAGTTTGGGAGCTGCTGGAGAGGTTGTTCCAAAGCTGGGCTTGCAAAAGGGTTGCCAGAGCTTGGGGAGCAATCGCAAAGTCCTTCCCTAAATCCTGCAGAACCGACCCCAAAATCCCCTCCCAAAATCCTGCAGAACTGACCCCAAAATCCCCTCCCCAAATCCTGCAGAACTGACCCCAAAATCTCCTCCCCAAATCCTGCAGAACCGACCCCAAAGTCCTTCTCCAGAAACTGCAAAACCAACACCAAACTCCTTCCCCAAATCCTGCAGAACCGACCCCAAACTCCTTCCCCAGAAACTGCAGAACCAACCCAGAATTTGGGGCTGGCACTGGGGAAGGGGCTGGGGCAGGAACACGAGCAGCTGCTCGTTCTTCCCCAGAGCAGCTCCCTGAGGTGATTTCCACACCCAGCTGGGCCCTGGGCCGTGTCCGTGGGCTCTTTTCCATGGGAATGGGAGCACAGCACGGATTGGGAACTCTGTACCTGCTGCTTTTGGGGCGTTTTCCCCAAGGATTGGCTTCCAAATCACGCCTTAAGTAGAGGAAAGTGTTCTAAAAACCACGTGGCATTGCAGCAGAGACGGGGATGCTGTGGTGGAAAACTCTGGGAAGAAGAAATCCAAGGATTTCTTCATGGCCTGGTCACAGCCAGGGCCCAGGTAGAAGCACCTTGCTCAATCCTGCTCCTGGATATCCTGAATATCCCTCAGGCCTCCCACGGATGGAGAGGAAACATTCCCCAGCTCATCCCTGCCGGAGCAGCTGCCTGCCAGGATGGGGCTGGAGCGAATTATCCCAGCCATGGATCAGCTCCCACAATTTGTCAGACAAGGAGAGGAAAGGAAGGTCAAAAAGAGCCTCCTGTGGGAGGGTGAAAAATTAAAAAAAAATAAAAAAAACCCCGCTTGTTGTGCTCCTGCTCCTCCTAATCAGGACTTGATGTGGGAGAAAGATGGATGGGATGGATGAGAAAATAAATGGAAACAGGGCTGGGAAAGCCAAAGGGGCTGCAGCACCTGTTTGTGCTCAGGGAACCAGGTGGGAAAAGCTCTTTTATGGCCTCAGCACACCCAGAATGTTCCGCAGGGTCAGCTGAGGGCCCTTCCCAGCTGGAGAAAGGGGATTGTGCCGGGTCAGGGCCTCAGGACAGCCCAAACATT